TTTGTGTTGGCTCTTGGGGACTGCTCACAGGTGTTTACAGTCATTAGTGGACCGGCATTGGAGCAAGGTACACTGCTTGGGGCACTGGATGTGTGCTTCAAGTCATATTATGTGTTTGATATCAACTTTCCCACTGAGAATTCCTACACACCATGGTGTATCAGCTGCCAGGAACAGAATCCCCCGCAGTAGAAATGTTGTGAGAATGTCTTTTTTCTACTGAACAATAGTGGATAAGTATCTGCTCTTGTATGTAGTGTGAGAAGTGACATGAGGAAGCACAGCCCTCCGGCTGATGTGTTCCTGTGAATGAATAGATCAATGGATGGATGAGCCATGTCTCATTCCAATGCTAACATGCTCTTAAGGCACCATTTATTGCTCTGTTAAATGGACTTGTAGTTTGTTTTAATGCTTTTGGCCCACAGTACGGTCTGTGCTGGTTTGCCTTTAGTTCAACTGCTGTTGCACATAAATCTATTAATATATAAATACATGTTGCTGGGCTGAAATGTTCTGCTATGCTTTCATTCTAGCACAACTATTTCTTTTGAATACAAATGTTACATTTTGGGGATTGTAAAAATTGCTTTATGAATGAAATACAGTAATGAGTCTTTAGTTCATGTCCTTAGTAGTGACCTTCAAATGTATTTTACACTTGTTCTCTGTTTAACAATGTTTTAACTCAACCCAAATGTAGAACATTATTGTATGGCAAAACAGCATGCTGTGTGTGTGTGTGTGTGTGTGTGTGTGTGTGTGTGTGTGTGTGTGTGCTGTCATCTAAGATAGCTGAAGTGTGTCAGTGAATGTGAATATCTATTGATTAGCTCTGGCACTGTCTGATGGACAGATCTGTGTTAATACCACTGTCTGATGGACAGATCTGTGTTAATACCACTGTCTGATGGACAGATCTGTGTTAATACCACTGTCTGACGGACAGATCTGTGTTAATACCACTGTCTGACAGACAGATCTGTGTTAATACCACTGTCTGATGGACAGATCTGTGTTAATACCACTGTCTGATGGACAGATCTGTGTTAATACCACTGTCTGATGGACAGATCTGTGTTAATACCACTGTCTGACGGACAGATCTGTGTTAATACCACTGTCTGATGGACAGATCTGTGTTAATACCACTGTCTGACGGACAGATCTGTGTTAATACCACTGTCTGACGGACAGATCTGTGTTAATACCACTGTCTGATGGACAGATCTGTGTTAATACCACTGTCTGATGGACAGATCTGTATTAATACCACTGTCTGATCGACAGATCTGTGTTAATACCACTGTCTGATGGACAGATCTGTGTTAATACCACTGTCTGATGGACAGATCTGTGTTAATACCACTGTCTGACTGCTTGTATTTCTCAATCTGATTTCAGCTGAGGCTTTAGTCTGATGTTTGGACTGTTTGGGTCATCAAATAATATAAATACATGAAGAGTTCATAAGATAGGATTCATTATTATCTTATGAAACACATACAGTGCATTCAGAAAGTATTCAGACCCCTTTACTTCTTCCACATTTTGTGACGTTACAGCCTTAATCTAAAATTGATTAAATAAAACAAATTCCTCATCAATCTACACACACAATATCCCATAATGACAAAGCTAAAAAAGTTGCAAATCTATTAAAAAAAGAAAAGAGAAATACCTTATTTATATAAGTATTCAGACCAAAAACCAAGCCATGAGCTCAAAGGAATTGTCCATAGAGTTCCGAGACAGGATTGTGTCGAGGCACAGATCTGGGGAAGGGTACCAAAAAATGTCTGCAGCATTGAAGGTCCCCAAGAACAAAGTGGCGTCCATCATTCTTAAATGGAAGAAGTTTGGAACCACCAAGACTCTTCCTAGAGCTGGCCGTTCAGCCAAACGGAGCAATCGGAGGAGAAGGGCCTTGGTCAGGGAGGTGACCAAGAACCTGATGGTCACTCTGACAGAGCTCCAGAGTTCCTCTGTGGAGATGGGATGTCAGTGTAGCTGTAGGTGGGTGTGGTGGTGGAATCAGGCGCAGGACGCACAAAGTAAGTCCAAAAGACTTTAGTAGTTTGGCAACAAAACACAGCCCGAAAACAAATGCCCTGAGGCGAGAAACTCCGCACGCAGGCGAAATAAAGCGGGCGCACAAAATACGTGCGACAAAATACTCCAAAACACAGAATGGAGAGCAGCTCAACCGAGCCAACTGTACATACAATAGCTAAGCGCACGACAGTGAAAACAATCACACACAACACTAGACAAACACAACGAGAACTTATAGGACACTAATTACACTAAACGATAACAGGTGTAACAACAATCAGACAAAAGCAAACGAACATAGAAACATGCAACGGTGGCAGCAAGTATTCCGGAGACGACGAACGCCGAAGCCTGCCCGAGCAAGGAAGAGAGGCAGCCTCGGCCGAAACCGTGACATGGGAGAACCTTCCAGAAGGACAACCATCTCTGCAGCAATCCACCAATCAGGCCTTTATGGTAGACTGCCCAGACGGAAGCCAATCCTCAGTAAAAGGCACATGACAGCCCGCTTGGAGTTTGCCAAAAGGCACCTAAAGGACTCTCAGACCACGAGAAACAAGACTCTCTGATCTGATGAAAACAAGATTGAACTCTTTGGCCTGAATGCCAAGCGTCACGTCTGGAGGAAACCTGGCACCATCCCTACGGTGAAGCATGGTGGTGGCAGCATCATGATGTGGGGATGTTTTTCAGCGGCAGGGACTGGGAGACTAGTCAGGATCGAGGAAAAGATGAACGGAGCAAAGTACAGAGATCCTTGATGAAAACCTGCTATTTAAAATATATATACATTATTGTACATTGCGGACAATTCTCTGACGTGCTGTGATGTATGTTCTGAAATGCAGAAAATACAAATTAATTATTATGACGTCAACATTGTATCTCGATTGTGTGTGTAGGAAAGGGAAGTATAATATATAATGAATAATGTATAATATAATGAAAGGGGTCATGTATAATATAATGAAAGGGGTCATGTATAATATAATGAAAGGGGTCATGTATAATATAATGGAAGGGAAGGGAAGGGGTCATGGAAGGCAATAATAAGACAAACTGAAAATAACCCAAGGATTACATTAAAGAATTACCTGGGTCAATCCTCCAACCCAACGTGCTGAGTTTGTCACAACCCAACACACTGGGTTGAATTAACCCAATGCTGTGTTTGGCCAATATTGACCCAGCACTGGGTTGTTGAAATGACATGAATTGGGTTATTTTTAACCCAGCATATTTTTGTGTAAAGATTCATTTTGGAAAAATAATATGAACTGCCATATTAGGCATAACTCAATTTCTACCTTTTTTAAGATGCCAAATAAAAAAAATCTATATCAGTATGTGTGTTTTGGGTTTACTGATTGTTTCAGTGCATGCATTCATGTTAGTCAGCGCCATGCTCTACCAACCGAGCTACAGGAGGCCTATTAGCCAACGTACAATCATTGGACGACATGGTTCCAGTAATGCCTGGCGAAAACCAAACACTGCATTCCACAGTAAGAACATCATACCAAAAGGTCAAGCATGGTGGTGGTGGTGTGATGGTTTGGGGATGCTTTGCTGCCTCAGGACCTGGATGACTTGCCTTAATAGAAGGAACCATGAATTCTGCTCTGTATCAGAGAATTCTACAGGAGAATGTCAGACCATCCGTCTGTGAGCTGAAGCTGAAGCGCAGCTGGGTCATGCAGCAAGACAATGATCCAAAACACACAATCAAGTCTACATGAAAATTGCTAAAAAGCAACAAATTGGAAGTTTTGGAATGGCCTAGACAAAGTCCAGACCTAATCCCAATTGAGATGTTGTGGCAGGACTTGAAACGAGCAGTTCATGCTTGAAAACCCACACATCACTGAGTTTAAGCAGTTCTGCATGGAAGAGTGGGCCAAAATTCCTCCACAGTGACGTGAGAGACTGATCAACAACTACAGGAAGCATTTGGTTGGAGTCATTGCAGCTAAAGGTGGCACAACCAGTTATTGAGTGTAAGGGGGCAATTACTTTTTCACACAGGGGAATTGGGTGTTGCATAACTTTGTTTATGAAATAAATATGTAATTGTTGTGTTATTTGTTCACTTATGTTCCCTTTATCTAATATTAGGTTTTGGTTGAAGATCTGATAACATTCAGTATCACAAATATGCAAAAGTAGAGAAAATTAGAAAGGGGGCAAATACTTTTTCATAGCACTGTTTATATATATATATATATATATATATATATATATATATATATATATATATATATATATATATATACACTCTATTCCCTATATAGTGCACACATTTTAGGGTATGTTAAACACCTGGTGATATTAACAGTGCTGTGTTGTTGTCCACATGGTGAATCTGGCCACTCATTTATCTCTAAAACTATGGAGCTTTCAACCCAGTCAGCTTCCAGGTACTAAACAATACAGAACTTCCGGGTTCACTAAAGAACTTCCAGGATCACTAAATTACTTCTAGGTACACTAAAGGACTTCCAGGTACACTAAAGAGCTTCCAGGTACACTAAAGAACTTCCAGGTACACTAAATAACTTCCAGGTACACTAAAGAACATCCAGGTTCACTAAATAACTTCTAGGTTCACTAAAGAACTTCCAGGTACACAAAGAACGTCCAGGTACACAAATAACTTCCAGATTCACTAAAGAACTTCCAGGTTCACTAAAGAACTTCCAGGTTCACTAAAGGACTTCCAGGTAAACTAAAGAACTTCCAGGTACACTAAAGGACTTCCAGGTAAACTAAATAACTTCCAGGTTCACTAAAGAACTTCCAGGTAAACTAAAGAACTTCCAGGTTCACTAAAGAACTTCCAGGTTCACTAAAGGACTTCCAGGTACACTAAAGGACTTCCAGGTAAACTAAAGAACTTCCAGGTACACTAAATAACTTCCAGGTACACTAAAGGTTCAATAAGTGTTTTACTCACCCTCCTGAGCCTTTGGGAGAAAGACTGGAACATATCCCCTCTCCTCCTCCTCTTGCACCTCCTCCTCCTTCTCATGCTCCTCCGCATCATTGCTCTGCAGGTTGAAGAGCGTCTGGGACTGCTTGTGGAGAGGCTGACTTACGTGGTGACCCAGGTCAGGTGATACCCTGAGAGAAGGCTGGCTGGTTGGGCTGAATCTCACCCTGGGATGGGTATGGTGCTGCTCTGAGTCCCTGGGAGCTGGGTGATGGGGATCAGGCTGTCTGGTCAGGGTATAGTGATCAAGCTGTCTGTGGGTTGTGTGGTGGTTCAGCTCTCTGGGAGTTGTAGTTCTGCCTGCATGGGAGTCAGGCTTCCTGGTCAGGGTATGGTGATCAGGCTGTCTGTTGAGGCTGTGGTGCTCAGCTTGTCTTGGGGTTGTAGTTCTGTCGGTGTGGACATCAAGCTCTCTTGTAGTTGCAGTTCTGCCGGTGTGGTGGTCAGGCAGTCTTGGAGATGTAGTTCTGTCTGTGTGGACCTCATACTCCTTGGGGGTGGTGTAGTGGTCAGGCTTCCTGGTCAAGGTGTGGTGGTCAGGCAGTCTGGGAGATGTAGTTCTGTCTGTGTGGACCTCATACTCCTTGGGGGTGGTGTAGTGGTCAGGCTTCCTGGTCAAGGTGTGGTGGTCAGGCAGTCTGGGAGATGTAGTTCTGTCTGTGTGGACCTCATACTCCTTGGGGGTGGTGTAGTGGTCAGGCTTCCTGGTCAAGGTGTGGTGGTCAGGCAGTCTGGGAGATGTAGTTCTGTCTGTGATGACCTCATACTCCCTGGGGGTAGTATGGTGAGGCTTAGGCTTCTGGGTCAGGATGTGGTGGTGAGGCTTCCTGTGGGTGGTGTGGTCCTGATTCCTTCTGGGGGATGTAGTATTGTGTTCTACTGTAGTGTTGTCCTGGTGACTTCCAGGTTCTCTGACAACAGCAGCCTTCACTTGGTTGGTATGGGTACTCTTCTCTCCTCCCCTCTTCCCCTGTTTATCCAAATCTACGTCATAAGACACTTCTCTCCACCCAGGTCCTGTGGTATTCTCCAATGGAACTACTCTCTCCTCCTCCTCCTCCTCATCCTCCTCCTCCTGCTCCCCCTCCATCCCTCTATCCCAGCTCTCCCTTGCATCCCCAGCCCCAGCCCCGTCCCCCTGAGGGTGAGGGTGAATCTGGCTCTCTGAGGGTGTGTTCCAGATCGAGGTGGTATCCTGGTGGCTGGAGCTGGTACTGTAGGAGGTGGTATCCTGGTGGCTGGAGCTGGTACTGTGGGAGGTGGTCTCCTGGTGGCTGGAGCTGGTACTGTGGGAGGTGGTCTCTACTGGGGTGTCGTCAAGCTGACTAGACGTAGTCTGTTCTACTGTCACTGAGCTGTCTGTCTCTCCAAACCCGTCTGTGGTGGCCTTGTAAAGTCCAAATGTCATCAACCTGTCTGTTTTCTGTAGCTTGTCTGTCAGTGTCACCCTACCTATATGCTTAGATCTGTCTGTCTCTGTAGATCTGTCTGTCTCTGTAGATCTGTCTGTCTCTGTAGATCTGTCTGTCTCTGTAGATCTGTCTGTCTGTCTTAGTCTGTCTCCCAGTCCTACTCTGTCTGTAACCATACTCTCTGTGGTTGCCTCATGGACTCCATATATCTCCCTCAGCTCCTGCTTATCTCTCTTACCATTTCCCCTGTTACCATAGCCGTTATCAGCCCTACCATAAGGCTTATCGTAGCTCTTACCTTTGCCCCTGTCGTGGCGTGGCTGTGTAGCCCCTGTCCCGGGGTAAGAGACGGAGACGGAGGAGGACGGTGTGGGGTAGGCCAGATCATTCACAGGGGGTTCTGACACGTCTGTAGTAAGGTAGTCATAGTCCTCATCCTCAGTCATGTGGTCTGGTTTGAACAGGGGCAGGAGGTCCAGGGGAATATGGGCATCGAACGGGAACGGGGGGAGGTGCGGGCTGTTGGATGGCGGTAGGTCTGGCCCGTTGAATGGGAACGGGGGGAGGTGCGGGCTGTTGGATGGCGGTAGGTCTGGCCCGTTGAAAGGGAACGGCGGGAGGTGCGGGCTGTTGGATGGCGGTAGGTCTGGCCCGGTGAAAGGGAACGGGGGGAGGTGCGGGCTGTTGGATGGCGGTAGGTCTGGCCCGTTGAAAGGGAACGGGGGGAGGTCCAGGCTGTTGGATGGCGGTAGGTCTGGCCCGGTGAAAGGGAATGGAGGACGGTTGTAGGGGGGTACACCTATAGCTTGTGTCTCCTGTGTGTTATAGGGGTGATTAGCCTGTCTGTTGCTCTCGGTCTCTCTCAGTTTGTCCTGTGTGAGGTAGGGATGGATAGGGGGATATGTAGGGTGTCTATGGTGACCCTCCTGTATGGTGGCCAGCATGGGTTTGTGGGGGTCACTGGGGTTGCTGGGGTCACAGGCTGGGATGGGGTAGCACATCAGCGGACCTCCATCGGACGGACAGTGGCACACCTGGTGGAACATCGTTAGAACGTTGTTAGAACATTACTAGAACATCTTAGTGGCACACCTGGTGGAACATCGTTAGAGTCGTTGTTGAAACAGACGTTACAACATTACTACAACACCTGGTGGAACATCCTTAGAGCATTGTTAAAATAGACGTTACAACATTACGAGAACACTTAGTGGAACATTGTTAGAGCGTTGTTTAAATAGATGTTATAACATTACTAGAACATTACTAGAACACCTGGTGGAACATCGTTATAGCGTTATTAAAACAGACGTTACAACATTACTAGAACATTACTAGAACACCTGGTGGAACATCGTTATAGCGTTGTTAGAACAGACGTTACAACCTTACTAGAACATTACTAGAACATCTGGTATGTTAGAACAGCATATGTAGTTGTTACAGGTGCAGAGGAAGAACTAGAATATTTAGAAAATAATCTTCACCACATTCGCATTCTTGTGTGTTCTACGATGTGTTGAATCAATGAATCTCAAACCAACCCAGGAAATTGGGAACATACCCAGAACATTAGCTAAGATTCCCAATAAGTTCTAGTTAGGATTTTATCTAACATTAGGTTGATTACATTTGATAACAAAAGCATTTTTTTCTCCTTTAAAAAATAAATACAAATCTTTGGAATGTTCTCCCAACGTTCACTAAATTGTTGTGCACAACATCTGTAACAACCACCACAGAACATTCCCCAAAAGCTTTCATTAGGTTTCCAGGTAATGTAGCACCACAATGTACCAGTAATGTTTTTCCATGAAAACAAAATTGGTTCTGTGAAAGTTCCCAGAACATTAGTTAGGTCGTGGCAAATGTTCTCAGAACACAAAAACTGTCCAGTCGTACTGATGATTCTAGAATGTTTGTATAAAACATTCGCCTGATGTTGCAAGAACATTCCTAGAACACATTTAATCTGTTATATAAAAAATTCCAAGAATGTTTAATTAGGTTGTGGGAACAATCTGGTGAGAACATTGTGGGGACATCACAAAATATATGTTTCCCAGAACACAAAAACTGTCCAGTTGTGCGGATGATTTTACAATGTTTCTTTTAGGGTGCAAAAAACATTTACCTGATGTTGCAAGAACATTCATAGAACACATTAAATCTGTTCTTTAAAAAGGTTCCCAGAATGTTTCTTTAGGTTGTGGGAACATTATGGAGACATGACAAGAGATATGTTCCCAAAACAATACAACTGTCCAGTTGTGCTGACACTCAGATATATCAGGTGAGTGTACATAAAACACTCATCTGATGTTGCAACAATGTTGACAGAACACCTGGTTTAACTTCTTTAAAGGTTACCAGAACATTTCATTAAGTTGTGGGAGTAGTCTGGGCTGTTGCATAGGTTACACAATGTTTTACCATTTCCAAATAAGCCTGTTTTTATGACATCCATAGCATATTTGTTTAGGTTTACATAATATTCCATTGATGTTCACGCTAAAATATTAACGCAATATTCAACAATTTCAAAGATTTTACTGAGTGACAGTTCATATAAGGCAGGGCTGCCCAACCCTCTTCCTGGAGGTCTACTGTCCTGTAGGTTTTCAGTCCAACCCTAATTTAGCGTATCTGATTCAGCTAGTTAAGGTCTTGTTGAAAAATCTAATCACATTTTATTTGTCACATAACGTGTTTAGCAGATGTTATAGCGGTGCAGTTTTTAGTCGATGCACTTTCTAGCATTGGAAGTTTTGGAAAGGCCTAACCCAAAAACCCGACCCCAAACCCAATTGAGATTTGTGGCAGGGCTGAAAAGAGCATTTTTGCTTGAAAAAACCCCACACACGATTTAACAATTCTGCAGGGAAAAGTGGGCCAAAATTTCCCCCCACAGTTACGGGAGACGGGTCAAAAACTACAAGGGAAACTTTTTTGGAGTCAAATTTCAGCTAAAGGGGGACAACCCGTTTTGAGTTAGGGGGCAATTTTCTTTTTTTACAAAAGGGGAATTGGGGTTGCTAACTTTGGGTTTTTAAAAAAAATGTAAAATTGGGTTTTGTTATTTTTTCACTTTTTCCCCTTTTTCTAATATTAGGTTTTTGGGTTTAAGATCGAAACTTTTATTTTCACAAAATGCAAAAGTAGAAAAATTAAAAAGGGGGGGAAAACTTTTTTATAGGGACTTTTTATATATTTATTATTATATATTATAATAAAATATATATATAATTATATTAAACACTCTATTCCCTATATATGCACACATTTTTGGGTATGTTAAACCCCCGGTGAAAATTAACAGTGCTGGGGTTTTTTTGTCCACAAAGGTGAAATCTGGCCCCAAATTTTCCTAAAACTATGGACTTTCAACCCCGTCAGCTTCCAGGGACTAAACAATACAAAATTCCGGGGTTTCCCAAAGAAAATTCCAGGATCCAAATTCAGGGACACTAAAAGGGCTTCCAGGTAACAAGAGCTTCCAGTACCCTAAAAAATTCCATACCCTAAAAAAACTTTCCCGGGAAAAAATTAAAAAACTCCAGGTTCACTAAATAAAATTTTAGGTTCACTAAAGAACTTCCCGGTACACAAAAAACGTCCAGGGACACCAATAAAATTCCAGATTCACTAAAGAACTTCCAGGTTTTACAAAGAACTTCCAGGTTTTAAATAAAAGGGCTTCCAGGTAAACAAAAAACTTTCCCGGGACCTAAAAGGGCTTTCCAGGTAAAAATAAATAAATTCCCGGGTTAAAAAAGAACTTTCCAGGTAACTAAAAACTTCCAGGGTTTACTAAAGAACTTTCCGGGTTAAATAAAAGGGCTTTTCCCGGGACACTAAAAGGGCTTCCCGGTAAACTAAAGAACTTCCAAAGGGACACTAAATAAATTCCGGGAACCCAAAGGGGCAATAAGTGTTTTAACCCCACCCTCCCCCGAGCCCTTTGGGGGAAAAACTGGAACATATTCCCCCCCTCCCCCTCCTCCCCTCTTGCACCCCCCCCCTCCCTTTTCATCTTTCCCCCGCATCAATTTTCTCGCGGTTGAAGAGGCCCCTGGGACTGCTTGGAGAGGCCTTTACTTACTTTGGGGACCCAGGGCCCGGGGATTCCCTGAGAGAAAGGGTGGCCCGGGGTTTGGGGGAAAATCCCCACCCTGGGTGGGGATGGGGCCCGCCTGAGCCCCGGACTTTGGGGATGGGGATTTAGGCTTTTCCCGGTCAGGGTATAGTGATCAAACTGTCTGTGGGGTTTTTGGTGGTTTTAGGGTCTCTGGGATTTGTGTTCTTGGGGCCCGGGATTTAAAATCAAACTTTTCCGGGGAGGTTTTGTTTATAGGCCCTTGGGGGGTTTGGGGGGAAACTTTTTTGCTCACTTGTCCTTTTGGGGTTTTTTAGTTCTGTCGGTGGGACCCAAACTCTCTTGTAGTTCAGTTCTGGGGCCCGGTTGGGTGGTTGGGCAGGCATCTTGGGGATTGGGGGGTTTCGTCTGTGGTGGAAAACTTCTACGGGTTTGGGTTGGGGTAAGTTGGCAAAAAGGGTTCCTGGCCAAGGGTGGGGGGGGGTTGGGGGCAGGGAGCTTTGGGGAATTTTGTTTTTTGTCTGTGTGGGCCCATAAAATCCCTTGGGGTGGGTTGGGGGGGTAGGTTTGGAAGGTTTTGGGGTTTTTTTAGGGGTCTTTGGGAAAAAAATTTAAAAAATTTGTTGTGGGGGGACTTAAAAAAACCCGGGGGGTGGGAGGGGGTAAAGGTTTCCTGGCAAAAAGGTTTTTGGGTTGGGTCAGCAAAAATTCCCCGGGGGGGGAAAAAAATTTTAAAGGTTTCCTTGGGGGCCTGGGGGATGGAACCTCATCCCCCCCCTGGGGGGAGTATTTGGGGAAAAGGCTTTTTAGCCCCCTTCTTTTCAGGGGGATTTGGTGGTGGTGAGGCTTCCTGTGGGTGGGGTGGGCCTATTCCCCTTTCCCGGGGATTTTAGTATTGTTGGTTCCACTGTAGTGGTTTTTCCTTGGTGACCCCCAGGGGTTTTTCCCGGGGCCAAAAAGCACCTTTTTTGGGTGGTAAAGGGGGGACTCTTCTCTCCCCCCCCTTTCCCCCGTTTTTTTTAAAATTCCAAAATCCCAAATTACGTCATAAAACCTCTCTCCCCCCCCCAGGTCCTGTGGGGTTTTTTTTCTTCCAATTGGGGAAACCCCCTCCTTCCCCCCTCCTCCCTCCCTCCTCATACTCCCCTCCTCCTCCCCCCCCTGCTCCCCCTCCTTTCCCCTCTAACCCAGCTCCCCTTGCAAACCCCAGCCCCACCCCCCCGGTTCCCCCCGAGGGTTTTAGGTGAAAAACTGGGCTCTCTGGGGTTTTTTGGGGCCGATTGGGGGGGGTTTTCCTGGGGCCTGAAACTGGTACCCCGTGGGGGGTGGTATCCCTTTTGGCCCGGGGGCTGGGACTGTGGGGAGGTGGTCTCCTGGGGCCCGGAGCGGGAAATTGGGGAAAGGTGGTCCCCTACTGGGGTTCGGCAAAACTGAACCCAACGTAGCGTTCTAACCCCCGGGCACTGGCTTCCCGTCTCTCCAACCCTTTTTTGGTGGCCTTGTAACCTCCAAAGTCCCTCAACCTGGTCCCTTTTTTCTGTTGCTTGTCCGGTCAAAAGGCCCCAAACCCACTATATGCTTGAAACCCCCTTTTGTCTCGGTAGATTTTTGTCTGGCTCTGTAGATCCCCTTCCTGTTTTCCGGGAATCTGTCGTCCCTGTGATCTTCTGTCTGCCCTTAGCCCCGTCTCCCCGTCCCTCCCCCTGTCTGAACCAATTAAAACCCCCTCTGTGGTTGCCCTCAGGGCTCCCATTCTCCCTCACTTTCCCGCTTTCTCTCTTAAACCCTTTTTTCCCCCGTTACCATAGCCGTTATCCCCGCCCTACCATAAGGCTTATCCCTAGCTCCACCTTTGCCCCGGGCGTGGGGTGGGCTTGTTGGTTGGGCCCCGGGGGGCCCGGGGGTAAGGGCGGGAAAGGATGGGGGCCGGGGGGTTAGCCCGATCATTCA